TAACATATTCAACGGTGCTCAAAGATAGTGAAGTGCAGTCTTGACCATCTCCAAGAAAACTATATTATCAGAGCTGCTCCAGTACATTCAGCAGCAATATCTCTCTAACATTTCCTAACATTACCCACCCAAAGCTAGAGGTCATACCAAACAGATATAGCGCAGGTAGAAAAACTCTGAGTGTTGACGTAAGATGTGTTTCACTGATTGGATTCAGCAATTAATTTGTAGTAGGAACAAAATGTTATTTCAGCTTTGAAAGACAATATAGCCTTGGCTGAACAAGCAAGGCCATAAACACAGGCTGAGATGGGTTTTTTGTTACCTTGTTTGGCATGGCATGTGAATGAAACTTCATACAACCTTGTTAAAAGAAACCGTTGTTGAAAAGCACAAGGCCGCACGCTCCATGTGTGTAAATAATTGTAGAGATTCACAGAGATTCACTAAAACTACAGTTGTTTGTATCGTAGCACAGTTGCAAGCATAACTGTGAAAAGTATGTTTGTAAATTCAGTTCAGGATCACTTAAATTTAGATTTTTCAAAGTTCTTAGGATTGCTTTATAAGGTTTTTTCTGGAAGAGTAGCCTTCCAGAAAAAATGTGAGTAAAGGACAGATGTTCCTGTTAAAATGTTACTGCATTAACTGTGGAAAAATGAGAATACGATTTTATCCATCCATCCATCCATCCATCCATCCATCCATCCATCCATTTTCTTCCATTTATCCAGTTTAGGGTTGTGGGTGATGGAGCCTCTCCCAGTTGTCACACGGTGAGAGTCAGGCGACTTCCTGGACAAGTTGCCTGTCTGTTTCTATAAAATGCCGTCTTGTGAAAAACTAAGAATGATTCAGTAGCTTGTAGAACCACTTTTAGCAGCAATAACTTGAATAACTGAATTTAGTCAGTCAGGTGAAGGCCTGCACATTGACTGGGTCATCGCAGCACCTCTTTTTCAGTCACTCTGTTCTAGATTTGCTGCTGTGCTTGGGATCAAGATCCTGTTGCGTGACCCAGTTTTAGTTGTCAGAACACACATTTGACCCTAAAATAATTGTTATATATTGTTAGTTCGCGATCAACACAATGATCTGGTGCTCCGAACTGTAACATTTAACCTGCTAACTGAGGCTTGTAGAGTCTGAGATGTAGCTCTTGGGTTTTTTGCAGTTTTCTGAGCATTACAGGGTCTCACCTGACCTGGGTTGAATTTTCTGGGACGTCCATTCCTGAGACGATTGTGTTAACACACACCTGAAAACCTCTGCTTTAACAGAGGCGGTCGCATTAATGCTGTGCATTTAATTATCAGTGCCTGGCTGCTACTTACCCTCTTGACTGTGGAAGCAGTAATAGTGTGCTTAGGTTTTTACAGCACTGCATAGACACATGACCTTATAATGCTGTTTGTGGTAGATATACATTGTCTTTGTGAAGTGCCAATATGTGTGAGAAACACGTTGTGTGGACATTTAGGTGTTTATCCTCAGATTGATAGAAATGTGCTATTTGCATGATGACACACATTTGCTCTTTTTCCAAAGACTTTCTAGGAAATAAAGTCTCTGCTATCACAATGTATGTGTGTGTGTGTGTGTGTGTGTGTGTCTGTGCGCGTGCATGTGTGTATGTGCTTTTTCCTGAACAATGGCCAGTGTATTGTCACAGCGTGGCGTATTATTTGTGTGTTTGTGAGTGTGTATGCACTTTGTTGCTATGGTAACACCCTCTGTATTGTATTCCAGTGCAGAAATCTGGGGGTACTCAGTTGAAGCTGGTGATGTCATTTCCCAGCTATGGACAAGCCATGTTCAAGCCCATGAAGTAAGCTGCTAATGGCAAACCTCTACACAGTCATCATAGCTCTCAGTGTGTATAAGACTCCTTTATGGCCTCTTGAAACAAGAACAATAAGTGGAGATGGGAAACATGGATGTCTAAGTCGTCAGACAGCTGTATTGTTTGAGTGAATAGTAGAAAAAATGTGTCTCAAACTCCTACTGTCTGTGTGCACTTGTTCAAATCTAGTGAGTCAATAAATAGACTCTTTCTGATGTGCATTTTTATCTTTACTGACAGGCAGGAGAGAGATGAAGAAACCAACTACAACCTGTACTATTTCTCTGACTTTGAGCGGCACAATGCAGAAATTGCAGCTTTTCATCTGGATAGGTATCAAGTCAAATTTCTCTTATCCAAAAGGGCACAGCAACACACTATTACAGAGAGCACCACAAGGGAAACGGTGGACAAAATAGCCACATAAAAAAATGCAAGTTATGTAACACTATTATAGTTTCTTATCTCTTCTCTTCTCAGCCTTTTTTTGGGGGTCTTTTATCTCTGCACTTAATCCTGTCCTCATCTCACACTTTGTTTCACACTCTCTGCAGGATTTTGGGTTACAGGAGAATCCCCCCTGTGGCTGGGAGGCTGGTGGATGTGGTCAAGGAGATCAAAGACGTCACTACTGACCGCAAGCTGGCACGAACCTTTTTTGCCTCCCCTGGTAACACTCCAGTACACCCTTTATTAATTCAGCAGGCTTTAAACGCCCTCATATGTCAACCTATTATAAATTCATTTTATTTTTCATATTTTCACATCACCAAAAACATTTTTCTGTCATTTTTTCCTGTTCACTTGCTTGCTTTTCTCCTTCTCTGTGCACCTCTGGCTCCCCCTAGTGGGAAATCAGTGCTTCTACGGCCAGTGCTCCTACTACTGCTCAACAGAGCACGCTGTGTGTGGCCGCCCCAGGGACCTGGAGGGCTCCTTGGCTGTCATGCTACCAGATCTCTCCCTGGCAAGGCGCAAGACCTGGAGATCTCCGTGGAGACGTTCCTACAGCCGAAGCAAGCTGGCAAAGTTAGTGGACGCCCTGGGCTGTCCAGCCATACAGAAAACAAATGTGCTCAGTGATAAAGGAAAGCTTACACCCTGCACTATATCAGTACAAAGTTATTAATATAGTGTTTACAAAAGTTTTAGCAGTGGCATAAATTTGATACACTTTGCCACCTAATTTGTTTTGTTTCTATGGTTTAGCAAATAGCAAACATAAGCATGTCATAACTCTAACTGTCATAACTGGCAAATAAATCAAAGATATGCAAAGAGTCAGCATTAAAGTGTCGACACTTGTGCTTCATAACTACTGCAGTTCCCCGTGGCAGGCTGGATATTAGCTCGTGAACCAAATCCTGTTTCCTTGGTGATTTCATTCCTGCCTGATCCGTGCACAGCAAAATCTCCAGTGTTAAATTAACACTAGTACTATACTAACACCGAGCAGTGCTGATTTTCTAACACTGGAAAATAACTCAAAATGTTAGAAATATTCCAGTGTTAGAAAATTTAGCACTGCTCTGTGTTAGTCATTGTAAATCTTCAGAACTGACTAGGTTACTTTTAAAAATATAACACTGTCAAAAGTGTTCATTTAACACTCAGATGAGTGGACACATATAGACACTCTCTAGTGTTAATTTAACAGGGGAGATGTTGCTGTGTGTGTGAAGCTGGTGACGGTTTGTTGGCTGATTGCTGACTATTTGCATTCATTTGGTTTATTCGCCAATCAAAGTCGTTGAAAAATACGAGAAGCCCATGAGTAACTATTTGTATTTGGTTTGTAAAATTCACAATATATCTCATAGCGTGTTTTTAGCACCTCCTGGCCAACACGCACAACTGCACACTGATCTCTGGACTGCTTCTTTGCCAGCTGCTCTTCATACTCATCTTCCCACCCTCCGGTCCCACCACTACTGCATAAATAAGAGAGGCAAAATCAGAGGCTGTGAAACAGCTGTGCCAGCCAGCCTCTCCTGGCACTGCCCCCTGAAACCTCTGCTCCACCTCTCCCCCTGCAGCTGAGCTACAATCATACCCCATTACTGCAATGTTTACCAAGTGATGCAGGATTTAGTATCCCAGCATCTTCTAAACTCCCACCCCATGTAGTCTGCTGTTCTTGTCATACTGTCTCCTGAAACAGAACTGCTAACCTGTAGGTTTACTTACCTAAAGTATATGTTCCTCGCAAATATCTAACTGCTGTTTAGTCTTATGTATCCTGTAAAAACAGAATAGAAATCCTACATTTAGAAACTACCTGCAGTTCCCAGATAGCTGTCCTCATATTTCCTACACTTGACCCTTCTGTATAAGTAGGCTGTGAACTTAATGTTCATTTCTTTAACAGAAACTCATAAAACTTTGATTAATTACGCTGTACATCATGGGTTGTAGTTAACATGATTTAGTTTTCTGCTGGAGGTGATCATTCAATCCATTTGAATAATGAGCTGTGGCTCATTTGAATGCTAATAAAAAGCTGGATGTTCCTGCTCTATTTTATCTTACAAAGAACGTGGTTTTCAGGTGGGAGACAGAACCCGAGTACTGCTCCACGGTGAAAAAGACACCGCCATACGACAAGGGCACACGACTGGTGGACTTCATAGACATGGTCATACTGGACTTCTTGATGAGTATGTTTTTGTCTGTTGCATTGTCCAGATTGGATTTTTAAAGGATGAATTTCTGTTACAGATGACCCAGCAAACAAGGGAGCCTTCAGGGAATGTTCCCTAAAGGTTCCCTGAGCAGGCAATTTGACATCTAATAGGAGAGGGGAAAAAAACTTCTTGCCATGTAGTGGAAAAGTGAAGTCATCAGTAATATTTAAAATACGCTATATTCCACCTGTGATTTTATTTTCCCAAGTATAATAAAAATATCTATTAGAGATTGGGGTTTAGGCCTATTTTCTGAGTATGAAAAGATGCTGTTTATATCATTGATTATATTACATTAAATATAACTTTTATAAGACACTTAATAAGCGCTCTGCCACCTAAAAACATCCAAAAAAATGTCTGACTTTGTTTCCTGCTGCTACGTTATTATTCCGAAAAGCAGCGAGGTTAAAGGTCACCACGAACACTTTAAACTCGGCGTGCTTGACTTTCTCAATCAGACCCACTAACTCTGCAGACCGGCGTAAGCGTCTGGACGTTACCGTGGCAACGAGCCTTCGTAGTAACAACTTCACAGGTAAGACTCGCCGAAGTATTTGTTAGTTCTTAGTTTAATATTTGGTTTATTAAAAGTAGTTTTTTGAGCTTCGGAGCTAACGCCCGCTGCTGTCTAGTTGTGTAAACGCTGAGCTTCACTGTAAGTCCGTTAAACTTGGGTAAGGACTACTAAAGTATGTGTTAACTTTTTATAACAAGTTTAGCAACTTGCTAGCTTATTTGAGGCTCGTCTCCTTATGCTTATTTAAAAGGATAAAATGTCATTTTCAACTGCACGATCTGACTAAGGCAGCGAAACATATACTGTAGCCAAGCGTCTCTTTGTGTGTTGTTTATTTGTGTTGGATGTACTTGCACTAGACAGTAATTTTACTCGTTTAAAAAGTCGGACTTCCTCAATTTTATTAGAAAGTCCGACTTTTTAAACGTATTGTAGTGTCGTCTCAATCATTCCCCTGCTATTGTGTGCAGCATTCTTTTTTATTAATTCAATGAAAAGCTTTGAATGAACATCTGTGTGAACGTGGAACTGGTTTAACTAGAAAGAAGTATAAGTAGTAGTACTTTAAAGCTATTCACTACCTTAAATTGTGTTTGCTGCTTACAATCGGCATACAATTTCATATGCAGTACATCTGTCTACAGTTTTAAAGCTTAGTTAAAAATGCAGGGTTTATATCTTGTGCCAGTATAGTTTGTGATTCAGGCTAAATTTACCTATTTGTCCCTCTCCTCAGAAATTCCAGAGTAAGTCCTATTGCATGATTAACACCGGTTTGTGACACAAGAGCTGCTGATGGTATTCCCTGGAGATCAGCATGTTTGATGCCGCCTCACAGGAAAGATCCCGTGATGGATCGTCTCAGAGCCGTGGTAAAGATGTTGCTAGGCCTGGTCACAAGGCGAAGAAAAAGACTCACTCTCCTAAAGTGACTTTACCACCTCTGTGCCCGGAGCCGTTTCGTGTCTTATCAGCTTCTGCAGCCAAGCCCCTGTTCAGTTGTTCCTCTCTCCTCAAAAATGTCCACTCTGATGGACATTTGTCATTGGCAGACTTGCCTCATATTATTGCTAAAGTAGGACCTGGGATAGCCATAGGCAACACAAAATGGAAAGAAGGACCTCAATTAATGGCTTCAACACTAGGGACAGAAATCCCTGTTAGAATTACTCAGTCGACAACAGAAAGGTACATAATAATACTTACAGATAATTAGACTTTGGCTTTTGTGATACTTTTCAATGCAGTATTTGTTGGGTGTAAGTGTCATTCCAGATAGCATTTATGTTAAAGATAGTTATAATTTATAGCATCAACAAATAAAATTGTTGTCACACTTCCTGTAAATGAGAGAAACTCCTAAATGAATTTCTTGTGTTTCATTTTTTCAGTATTCAGGAAAAAGGTGAATCAAAAACAGCCAAAACTTGCAAGTATAAAAAGATAGCAACCTTGAAACATGGGAGGGCTACCAAACCAAGTATATCTCCCCTCACTGGCGCAGAAGTTGTTCAGATTTTGGTTCAGAAAAGAGACCTGGGAGAATATGAGATTTATTACCTCAAAACAGTAGATGGGGATGCTTACAGGTAAAGATGAGAAAGATTATTTAACACTTGAGTTGAGTTTCATGGTTTGGTAAATCTTCCCTTGTCAAACCATAAATCCACTGACGCATGTCCTCTTTGTTTTTAGACCCTATGACCTGCGAGTTGTCCATCCCAGTGAAGCTGGTCCTGAGCACTATGTCTTCACCTCTAAAACTGTCCTGCATGTTACCCAGACGGGTATTGGTGGAACTGTCAGTCTGGCAGAGTGGTATAGACAGTATGTGCTGTGGACAGATTTGCAGAAAATTGCATTTTTCAGGGACTTTAGACTGCAGAAAGCTTTTTTCTGGTAATAAATGTTAATGTTATACCTTTTGCATAACTCCGTGTATAAACTATTTCCTTTTTTCTTTACATTTATTGTTTCCTTTGAATTGTATTTTTTTTTTTCCCAGGTGGCATCAAAACACGCGCAAGAGAATTTTTCAGCGCCGGAGAAAGAATCTGGAGGACATGCTGCTCATAGCTGTACCTCAGTTCAGGAATGCCCTGCATCTATTAAAAGGGTGAGTTAAAGCCAGCAACAGTCTAAAGTTTTCAACTTTGAGACAGGTTCAGATTTTCAACAATAAAATATCTTTGACAGAGTAATTGAAGAACTAAAAGAGACACACTGGATGCCTCTGGATGTGTGTGAATGCCACACATTGACGGAATTTAAGAACATACTGATAAGCAAGAATCAGGAGTGTCTGCAGATATTGGAGAAGTTATCACAGTATCACACTCTCACCCTAAATATGGTACTACACCACAGTCAACTTTTATGGTTTCATCATAAGAGACAACAAAGCCTTTTTTTTAATCAAATGATCTCTAATGACAATTTAATATCCTCAGGTGAAAGAAGACAGCTATAAGAAACACCAGGAGCTGCAGCTACACTTAAAACTTGCTAACGATCCAAAGAGCTTCCACAAACCCATACATTTGCTCATGGCTCATCAGCGCAAGCTGAAGAAAGAGTTGGCCCAGTCTGAAAGCACCTTGAAGAAATTGGGAAATTTTGCAGCTCTTGTGCATCAGATGATTGTGCAGAGTCTCGTGACAGTCATACTAGAAGATGCTATTTCATTTCTCGATCTTTTAAAGGTTGAAAATGAACTCTTATTAACTGTTTGTGGTTGGAAAAAATGTTGATTTTAGCTGTACAAGTCTTTATTTTTCTCTTTCACCCAGTATTTTTATTGTTTACTGTTCTCAAACAATAACCAGAAGAATTACTGATATAAACCTACAATAACTGTGGAGCACCACTGCTGCATGAAGTAATAGATGATGTGTTAGATGAAGTAAAATGACAATGAAGTTATATTTAATGAAATTAACTTTATGTATATTGTCATTCGTTAGAGCAAGGAACTGCCAAAGCGCTCTCTCTTCCACACCGAGCTGCGTTTCAGTGCTGATAATCAGCTGACGGTGGAGCCGCCAATACATCTGTTCAAAGAAGCAGTGAGCCAAGCACTTCTCACTGTAGGCGACTCTATTATTCAGGTAATTTACACGTTTCAGCAGATGCAAACACAGGAGCAGTTTCATTTCTGCAGGGCAATCATCATGTACAGAGGGGAAATAATTATTGGATGCTCTGCTGAATTTGTAAGTTTGGTCACTTCCAAAGAAATGAACAGTTTCTAATTTTTATGGTTGTTTCATTTTAATGGAGAGAGACAGAATATTAATACAAAATCCAGACAAAAAAACATTACAGAAAAGTTATAAATTGATTTGCATGTCACTGAATAAAATAAACATTCGATCCTCCCTTAAAACGCAACTTAGTACTTGGTGAAGAAGAACAACGATAACACGTTTCTTCTACTTGGTCACCAGGAGGGCTTTTGGCCCATTCCTCATTTTAGAAACTCTTTAAATCCTCTAGGTTTTTAAACCTGCTTGGTAACTCAAATATTCAGCTCCTCCAACAGATTTTCTACAAAATTGGGTCTGGAGACTGGCAAGGCCCCTCCATCATCTTAATGTACTTTTTGCTAGCCACTTCAGTGTTGCCTTGGTGGTATGTTTTCGAGTCATTGTTATGTTGAAATGACCCATCTTCAGTGTTTTGACTGCAGAAAAGAGGTTCTCAATCAAGATCTTACATTGCATAGCCCAATCCGTTCTATGCAGTTGGATTTGTCATAACTAATGGACTGATTAGATTCAAGATGCAGACTCGGAGGAATTAAAGTGAGACAACAACAGAATGTGACAACAGAAGGATTTCCAGTTACTGATTCCTAAGCTCCGCAGAATATTTCTCCACAGGAATTCTGTCTCTCGCAGTAACTCACTCTGAAATTACGCAGAGAAGAACGAGCAGGTGAGCCAACTTCTCTGTTTCCAGTCTAATGATCAGGCGACAAATGAAGGCTGCTGATCAATACTGATCAGACGATTACCAACATGGGAATTAATCAACTCAGTTGCGCTGACCTGGAGGGCAGGCAGCAGGGGAGAATCTTGCCACTGAAACACAAGGTGTGGTTAGTCATCCACACAGACACACACATGCACTCACACACAGAGAAAGGAGAGATAGAAATTGCAGAGAGGAGCAAGATGAAATGAATGAGCCAGCACAGGAGGACTGGAGGACCATGACAGGAATGTAAGTGGTGTGCTTTGATTGATTGGTTGTAATCTTTGTGCCATGAGGGCTGCGTTTTAAGGCAGAAAATAGTTATTTAGCTCAATAACATACAGATTATTTTAACATTTATAGAATTTGTTTTTTTCTGGATTTTTT